AGCCTGAAGTTACATTCGCTTTTTTTTTTAAGGACATTCGCTTTTGGGGTAGTACCAACCTAAACGGGAAAACAAAAAATAACTAGGACCGGGCTGAAGTTACATTCGTTTTTTTTTTTGTTTTTTTTTTATCAATGGCCATCGAAAGTGATGGCACCGGGACCAATTCTCATCCCCTTTTCGGAAAATAGCCCTAAACCCCCGACAAATTCGTCCCCGAAGTTGACAAATTCCGCAAGTGTGTGAGTGAGTGAGTTTTGCACGCGGAGGATAAGGACGCCGTGGAGGCCCAAGGGCCCACTTAACCCCCCGTACCTGTAGTTTTTCGAAAAGTGCCCCACAGTTCGAGAAATTCCCTTTTGTTTGGTCAATGGCGCGGTATACGAATAATGCAAGTTGCAATTCAAAATTGATTTATTAAAATTGAGTGAGTTTTGCACGCGGAGGATAAGTACACCGTGGAGGCCCAAGGGCCCACCTAAAACCCCCTATCTGTAGTTTTTCGAAAAGTGCCCCACAGTTCGAGAAATTCCCTTTTGTTTGGTCAATGGCGCGGTATACTGCAAGTTGCAATTCAAAATTGATTTATTAAAATTGAGTGAGTTTTGCACGCGGAGGATAAGTACACCGTGGAGGCCCAAGGGCCCACCTAAAAACCCCTACCTGTAGTTTTTCGAAAAGTGCCCCACAGTTCGAGAAATTCCCTTTTGTTTGGTCAATGGCGCGGTATACGAATAATGCAAGTTGCAATTCAAAATCGATTTATTAAAATTGAGTGAGTTTTGCACGCGGAGGATAAGTACACCGTGGAGGCCCAAGGGCCCACCTAAAACCCCCTACCTGTAGTTTTTCGAAAAGTGCCCCACAGTTCGAGAAATTCCCTTTTGTTTGGTCAATGGCGCGGTATACGAATAATGCAAGTTGCAATTCAAAATTGATTTACTAAAATTGAGTGAGTTTTGCACGCGGAGGATAAGTACACCGTGGAGGCCCAAGGGCCCACCTAAAACCCCCTACCTGTAGTTTTTCGAAAAGTGCCCCACAGTTCGAGAAATTCCCTTTTGTTTGGTCAATGGCGCGGTATACGAATAATGCAAGTTGTAATTCAAAATTGATTTATTAAAGTTGAGTGAGTTTTGCACGCGGAGGATAAGGACGCCGTGGAGGCCCAAGGGGCCACCTAAAACCCTCTACCTGTAGTTTTTCGAAAAGTGCTCCACAGTTCGAGAAATTCCCTTTTGTTTGGTCAATGGCGCGGTATACGAATAGTGCAAGTTGCAATTCAAAATTGATTTATGAAAATTGAGTGAGTTTTGCACGCG